ACAACAAAAAATATAGTGTAAAGAAAAATGTTCAATTTGTCCGGATTTTGGCCGTGCACCCTGTAAGTACGTCTTCGTTTAGGTTCTTTGTTTTCAACAAATCCTAGCCCTGGTTATCACCATTTCATCCCAATAACTGTATTTGTAATATGCATGGTGGTTTAAATAAAAACACTTATTTTAAGCTTAATTTTTATTGCATTAAACTATAATGATCTTTCCGAGCATTTACTATTAGCTCTGATACATCAATTTTTAGTTTATATTGCAGTCTCTCCGGCAGATCTCTGAGAGCACTTGCCACGTACTCTTCGAATACTTGGTGTTCATCAATGTGTCTATCTAATACAGATATGCATTTTTTTAAAACTTCATCTTCGGAAAACTCCATCTTTTTTGGGGGGGAGCCATATAACCTCACAGATGTTGATGGCACCGCATAATGACACACACTTGGTGCCAACTGGCTGTCTAGCAAAGTTTCTTGGGACTCCATGTCAAGCTCTATTTCAGTCGATGTATTGCTCTGGAAAAGAAAAATACATTTAACTGACATTCTATTTTCTAGGTACCTACTACTGAAGATGAATGGTTGGAGATGGAAGGGGAATTTTCTTCGCAATGGGATTTCCCAAATTGTATTGGTGCACTGGACGGGAAACACGTACACATTCAAGCACCTGCCAAGACCGGAAGTCTTTATTTTAATTATAAGGGAACCTTCAGCATAGTACTTTTGGCATTAGTGGATGCCAATTATAAGTTTTTGAATACCAACATTGGTGCATCAGGGCACCATGCTAATGGCGGTGATTTTGCTACCAGCAATCTAAATCAAGCCATCGAACAGAAAAAATTAAATATACCGAATGCCAGGGCGACATGAAAATTCCATATATTATAGTTGCTGATGATGCATTTTCTTTAGAAGAAAACTTAATGAAGCCATTCAAACACCAAACGTTAAATGGAATGGAACGTATCTTTAATTGTAGATTATCTCGAGCTCGACGCATTGTTGAGAATGCCTTTGGAATGGCTGCTGCCCGATTTAGGATTTTGCGCCGAACTATTGAACTTCCACCTGAGAAAGTTCAATTGATAGTGGGCACTATTTGTGTCTTACACAATTTTTTGCTGGCCACCTCCGGCAGAGTGTATGCTCCGCCTGGAACGCGAGATGTCAATGGTATATTTGAACCAGGAAGTTGGAGGAATGGTACGAATATTCCATTCCTTGACCTTAAACCAACGCAAGGAAGATGTTATATCCAAAATAAGAAGAGTGATTTCTAAAAACTGTTTTTTTTTTTCCATATGCCAACAAGAGATTCACCTATAACAAAAGCGAGGTCAAACAATGTTCCAGTAGATGTACCGAGGACGTAGCAATATTCACTGATTAACCGCTAGATAAGTCCGAGTTCGTAACCTGTTCCGCAACAAGTTTCACAAGACACTATAACTCACTCCAGGCCGGCACTTCACACACTCTGCCGGCCACTTCGCCGGGCACCGCTTTTATAGCCCGCTAGGGCTGAAGGTCCGCCGGCCAGCTGCCCGATAAGGGTGAGTTCTGTGGTTCCGGGGCCTGGCCGAGCGTGACGGAGCTGCGGCGTTGATAATCGGCGCCCTCTCTTGGGCGGCGCCGGAACCACTTTCCGGCGGCAACTTCAATGGTGCGCGTTCGACCATATCAGAAGAAAGTATTCAACAAATGCCAGAGGCATTAGAAATGAATTTAAAGAATATTTTGTAGCAGAAGGTGAAGTTCCCTGGCAATATAAATGTGTACAATAAAATGTTGACTTACCATTAAATCAAATGCGTTTCCCTTTTCTGCCTCTCCACCTCCACATAAAAAATTGAGGAATTTAAAAAAACATTTCGACGTATAAACGTCTTTCGCTCCTGCTCCATTTTTCCTTGTTCTTTCCTTTTTAACTTCATTTCGGTATTGGCATCTTAAATTGTGAATTTTATTTTCTATTTCTTTTGGGGTCTTGCCAACTGTTCGGACATTTCAGAAAGGGTAGCATTTCGTTTCACCCTATCTTTATAAAAGGAATGGGACATTCTGAAATGAAGAGGTGCATTTATAGTAACTGAATTGCCAATTAATTAAAATAATATTCCAACTATCAACATAACTAATACAATTTCCACATGTGAAAATATTTTGAATTAAAGGTATTTAATTCAAACACTGACGATAACTGTACGATATATATATATATATATATATATATATATATATATATATATATTAGTAAAAAATTATACTTGGACGAACTGCTTTTATTTCTAGAATTTGTAAACACCAATTTTTAGTTTAATGTACTTTTCCTCCATAAACATTCCCTTAACTCCAGCAATTCAATTAATTTCATAATATTCTCCTTCGACCATCTCTTGTAATAAAATCACGGAGTTCAATAATTAGGATATGCAAGTTGAAAAAAAATTATTACAAGTAAAATGTACAAGAATCATCCTCCAAAACGCCAAGAGAGCAAAAAGTCTTCCAACTCCCTTCGAAAACTGTTTATCTCCTAGGAGACACGATTTCTCATCGATACCAGAGCCTTTACACTGCTCTCTTGTGGAGACTTCGAAAATCTCTTGTGACATGTCTCCGGAGAGAAGATCGCTCTCCTGAGAGTTTACACGTGTCTCGTAACCAGTTCCGGAAACTTAGGAGAGAAAACTCTCTCCGTGTAAACGCACCTTCAGTCGACACCACTACGGCGCCAACAGGATTACGCTTCTCCCTGCCGGCCGCGCGTGCACGTGCGTGTTCGACTGAGCAATTTGCCATAATGTCAGTGGCGTCTCCTGAAAGATCGGGTAGGGATGCGATAAAAAGTCGCAAATACTTTGTCAATAAGACACCGGTTGCCTTCACTACTTACTGAGACCTGGTGCTCAAACATTGTATTGATATTTAAAATGAACAAAAAAACAAACAAATAATAGGAAATATATTATTAATGATCATATAGCAGAAACTCAAAATGATATAGTATTTGCGCACGGCAAAAGATAACAAAATGCTGTTGAGACAATAGACCCTAAGGTGTCGCAGGTAAGCAGCCTGCACATTGTTTTCCAATTAAATTCTTAGAGATATTAAGCTGTATCACTTTAGCCCCATTAATATATCGAATTAAACCCAACAAGTGGAGCGAATTTGATACAGTTTTGAATTTTTAATGAGTTATGGTAGGTCTTTAGCACCAAAAGGCCAATATTCAGGTTTTTTCACAGGTCCGGTACACACGGTATGGAAAAGACAGTGAAATGTTGCTCTTCTGTCACAGAAGCCCCGATTGACCCTAATTCTCGAAAATTCGAACTTGACATCATTGTCTAGAAGCTTTAAGAGAAAGTTATATTAATTAAGATGTTTAACTGCTATATTAGCAAATCCCCCTGGTGAAGAAAATGTGAATGCTTCCACCCATTCCATATGCAACGGCGTCTGGAGGCCAATAAATGAAATTATTTTATTCGAGGTTTGATACCTGAAGCGCTCAAGGAAAGTTCAGTATATTTTTGCCCAGAGAAAATGAGACATGTACTTAAAAGATTATAAATCATAAAACCAACCGAATGACGAAGAGAATCGACACATCACTTGCATCCGTTGACGCTACGCCACTGCATGACGTTCCAACTTTTTTTTGAGTGCCTGAAACACGAGACGAATTCCTTTCGCCCATTTTAGGTGGAGTGAGGGAACAACTAAAAAAGTATGAATGAAAACTCTCCTTCAAATCTGCCAGGAACCCATTGATTTGTCCAGTAGTTAAGTTAGAGTGGGCAGATTATAATGTCCTCTAAATTTTTATTTTTTAGCAACGCTCAAGACAACACTGAAATAGAACTGTTGCAACAGTGATATGGCAGTAAAAAACCTGTAGAAGGCGCAAAGAAAATGAATAATTTCATTTGTTTATAAAACAATCAATAAACTATGTTCTCGGTAAAAGCAAAAATAATATCAATTTAATTAGTTGAAATCTTCCTATAATTATTTCATCCGTTTAATAATTTAAATCCGTTTGCAACTTCTTAATTTAAATTTATTCGGCTATGAAGATCATCCATGTCTGGCATATTGTAAGATGTGAAGGGATATTTCTATTTATTGCTCTGTGAAAGTGACAGTGGTAATTGTCTACAGCTCATTGCACGTGCTTGGGGGACTGACACTTTGGCAGTTGTATCAGAACAGAAAGTAGAAATTTGTATTGTATTTAATTTCTCAGAATTTTGGAGCGGAGCCCCATTTTGAATCTTACCAAACCTGAATATCACTTCAGAGAATACAACGGTATTTTTTCGAATTATTAAATTGACGGGTAAAGGAAGAAATTAAAAAAAATAACCCTGAAAATGAATTTTAAAAAATGAATTCTATACATACATAAGAAAGACCATATTTTGTTCTTTAAAGTAACAAGTACATTTCGATCACAATTACAGTACAAGTTTTTTCATGCAAGTATTTTCCCGAAAATTAATATCGTTTCGAAAAATATCTTTGGGGAAAAATTATAAACGTGTGTTTCATATTTTTGCTTATACTCTTCATAGAAAAAAGTTTACAATTCTGAGACATCAAGGTTAAATACAAAGGGTACTAGGAAAGTTTTGCAATACAGCTTTATTTAATTTTATCAAAGTAATTTCCGCCACATTCAATGCACTTTTCCACCCTCGGAAACAAATCACTAAACCAGTTCTGCCAAGTTTCACTAGGGAGTAAGGCACACTCGTTGTCCCAGGCCCTCAGGAGGTCCTCATCTCTGGAAAACTGCATTCCTTTCATCTGCATTTTCACATGCGGGAACAGTGCAAAGTTACAAGGAGCGAGGTCTGGACTGTAAGGAGGGTGCTCAAGAAGTTTCAGTCCTGTAGTGGTCACATATTCCGTGCAGGCTTTGACGCAGTGAGCTGAAGCGATGTCATGATAGAGGAACCAAGTGTCCATTCTTGAATTTGGCCACAGGTTCCTCAACGATTGAATGACTTTTAGCAGACACTGTCCAGCACGTACCACTTAGCTGTGATTGTCTTCTGTGTCTCCAAAACAACACGCTCCACAATTCCACTCGATTTGAAAAATACAGCTATCATTTTCTTCTTTACAGATCGCGATTTTCGGACAGCGACGGGTGCCTCCTCGTCTTCAAAAATCCAAACTTTGTTTTGAGTCTTAGTAGGCACGTCATAATAGTACAGCCAAGTCTCGTCACCTGTCACGGTGCTGTTTACATACCGAGATTGACCCTTAGAAAACCTTTTTAGCATCTCCCGGCACCAAGTCACACGTTTCATCTGCTTTTCAGTCAGTGTGTGCGGCACCCAGAGACAACAAAGTCTCTTCACTTGCAAATGATCATGCAGAATCGAACGAATTGCTGGTTCATTAAGGCCTAAGGTATCCTCTATCCGCTTGTAGGTCACTCGTCTGTCTTCGTCAAGCATTTTCCTCACAGCAGCAATGTTTTCCTCCGTTACTGATGTTCGTGACCTGCCCGCTCTCTCAGCATCCTCCAAACTGAAATTTCCCCTTTGGAATTCTCTGCACCACCTGGATATTGTAGTACGATATGGACAAACATCTCCGAGTGCAAAAGTCATTCCTTCAAAGCATTGGTCCAGGTTTAAACCACGCGCGAAGCTATACCGTAAAACTGCCTAAATCTCACTTCGAGTCCACGAAGCCATAGCAATCACTTCAAACTGCCACTGTCACCGAAGAACTAAACCCGCAGACGCGGCACAGCAACTACTGTGCAAGTATGAACATGTCTCAGAACCCTGCGACAAGCAGCCTCCTGTGACGTATGGTTGCGTCGTATTGCAGAACTTTCCTAGTGCCCTCTGTAATTCCTTCAGTTTGTTCGAATGACTCAAAAACGATCTTAACGCACAACCTATGGGTGTACCCGTCAATTGTATGTAAACTATACTATCAAAGAGTTACTCAATTTTATTTTCATATGTATTGATTCACCAACAAAATATCTTCAAGTGGAAACGAAACATTAGATAAATTACAATTGCACATTTCAAAATGTTACTTACTTCAAAATTGTTTTTATTACGTAACTCACAATTTTCAAGACAGGTTGAATTCAATTAAAGAATTATTTACGCAATTGATATTGGGG